ATATACATATAAATATATAAATATATAAATATATATATATATATATATATATATATATGCAAGAAAACGTATAACTTGATGGTTTAGTTTTAGTTGGGTACTACCCTTCAGCTTCCCATGTGCATCTTATACGTTGGTAGACTTTCACCTCAGCGAGGTTCCACATGTACATCAGTACACACACGTACAGACGCTCATAAACACACGCATACGCATAATTCATAGACACATGTGTCAGTGCTCCTCCAGATGCACACAGTCGACGGCACATGTGGACACCGACCGGCATAATCCCACTCTCTTTTGCCCATTTTGCCTTCGCATTGTGCGCATTAGACCATATCTCTGATGCCCAGGTCGAAATGTGGGACTGATGGTGGGCGGCTCAGAGAATAACTGACAGGGCCGATGTGAAAATATGGCAGGGCCACGAGCTCAGGATAGGCGCGAGCACGTATGTACACTCTCTTTGTGGGCAAGCTATGGGAAGAGCCCACAAAGAAATGTAGGATTGAGAATACGGGCCAACCCAATCTTCACAGTATCCACACCTGGGGTCAAGTGATTTTTCCACTTGTCTGCCCTACACAATTAGATTAAAGGGAGTCTGCCCTTGCAGTCGTCCCTTAGAGCAAGTGCCCTACCGGTCTGTCCGCCGATTTCTCTCCACTTTTCTCTTCCACTGCCCACTCCGTCATGGCGATGAATGCCCCATCGTTCGTGCTTTGTCTTCCACACAATCCTCTCCAATACGCACCTTCATTAATCAGCCAGTCCTATCCATCCCGAAGGACATATCAGCTCCTCACAAAAGCCACTTCCGGACCGACTGTGTCCACTATCGCCTTTAGACCATCTCCAGATCCACGTTCCTCGTAATTATTTTGACTACTCGTTTGAGTGAGCTGTCTCAATGTCCAAATGAATCACTTCGTAAAGCCTTAATGTGCTGACTGGTTGAACATCTAAATGTAAAACTTTGCCATTTTAGAGTTTGTATGCGCACAGATGAACTATACACCCTGAAGCCTCTGAGTCATAAATCCTGCATCTGGTCAATATTGACTCAAGGTGATACAAGGCCCGCAGGTGCATATCTGTTCTGGCGTTTCTTGGATATGTTGACGCAGGACAATAGGTCAAAGTCCGGCCTCAAAGTAGTGAGACCCATTGCATGTTTTACCCCTTGCAGGAAAATTCAGTTAGGCCTTCTGGTCGACCGTTATAACAGAAAAGACGCATTTGTTAGGCTAAAAAAGTATGTATATGAAACTCACTGAATCTGGTCAGGAATATTATATGTTTAGCGGACAAACTAACTAATCAGCACAGAAATCCAGAACTAGAATATACTGGGATAATTGAAGTGGGTTGACCTCGTTGTCGCAACTTAGTCTTGTGTTCAGGGAGACTATGTAGAACGCACCGAGTCC